GCCGGGCGCGCTCCGCGGCTCGGACGCGGACGACGGGCCCGCGGCGCGGCCGCCCCCAGTTGCGCGCTGCCGGCGAGTGCGGGCTGGAGCCGGGCGGAGGGGCTCCCCTCATTCCCACCCTGCAGGCCCCCATCTTAGCCCTTTGGCCCCCCACCATTTCCCCACGAATTCCCGGGCGGGCTTGGGCTGGATCAGCACTTCCTCTCGGCCTCGCAGCTCGGCTCGTTGGTCTGCGCCCAGGACTTTGCCTCTGGGCCTGTTCACAAAGCGTATAAAAGTTGAATTTAATGGAACTGGATTCCTTGGGCTTAAATGCGCCGATACGTCTCCCTGTTCTCCGTGCTCCTTCCCCTTCCTCATTCTTTCCACACCCTCCTTTTAACTCAGTATTAGCGTTAGGTGGTTCTCTGAGAATGAGTTCCCAGTCTCCCTGTGGAGTGTTTTTCTGCAGTTATTGTTTGCTGTAATGGGAAGCACAGTTCAGCCATGTACAGGAAAGTAGTATGTGTACTCAGGTATCTCAGGAATTCCATTTTATGGCTTGACAGTTGCGAATGCCACAATTCCATTTTAGTTAAGACGTAGAAATATTTAAAGTGGTACTCTTAAAGTGAATAAGGTAAGTCTTAAGTTCTTAATTTCTGAGTGTTTCAAGCATTGTCCTGCTTAGTAATGAAATCAGTTCATAGTTATTTGTTTTGAATGTTCCTTGTTTTCCACAATCGACATAAATACTAGACGTTAGGGTGTTTTTTTTTTCTTTTTTTTAGCAGATTTATTGAGGTACAATTCACCTGCCGTATAATACACCCATTTAAGTTAACAATTCAAGGATTTTTCGTCTGTTCATAGAATTATGCAAATGTCACCACGCTTTTAGAACAATTTCATCATCTCAGGAAGAATACCAGTGTTCATTAGCAGTCACTCTACATTTCCTTTTTGCCTCCATCCTAGGCAACTAATCTATAGATTTCTGCCTATGTAGATTTGTCTGTTCTGGACATAATCATATAAATGGGTTCATACATGTGGTCCTTTGTGACTGGCTTCTTTTACTTAGCATGTTTCCAGGGTTCATCCAGGGTGTAGCATGCAGTACTTAATTCCATTTTATGGCCAAATAGTGTTCCATTGCGTGTGTGTGTGTGTGTGTGTGTGTGTGTCTGTATCTCTGTATCTATCTATCTCACATTGTATTTATCCATACATCAGTGGTAGACATTTGGTTGGTTGTGCTTTTTGGCTATCATGAATAATGTTGCTATGAACATTTCTGTACAAGTTTTTATGTGGATGTATGTCTTATTTCTTCTGGGAATGGAATTGCTGGGTCATATTGTAACTCTCTGTTGAACGTTTTGAGGAAGGGCCAAACATTTTCCAAAGTGGTTGCACCATTTTACAATCCCATTAGCAATGTCTGAGGTTTCCAGTTTTTCCATGTGCTGGACAACACTTGTTGTTATCTTTTTTATTGTAGTGGTTGGGTGTGAAGTAATATCTCATTGTGGTTTTGATTTACAATACATGATTTTGTAAGTATTTTCTCCTATTCTGTGGATTGTCTTTTTCACTCTTTTGATGGTGTTCTTTGAAGCACAGAAGTTTTTAATTTTGATGAAGTTCAATTTGTCTAATTTTTCTGTTATCACATATGCTTTTGTTGTCATATCTAAGAAGTCTTTCCTAACCCAGGATCACAAAGGTTTACTTCTATGTTATTTCTATGGATTTTATATATAGTTTTAGTTCTTACATTTAGGCTTATGATCCATTTGAAGTTAATTTTTGTGTACGGTGCTGGAAGAGGTACAGCTTCGTGTTTTGCCTGTGGGTCTAGTCCCAGCACTATTTGTTGAAAAGGCTCTTCTTTTTCCATTGGATAGTCTTGGCACTCTTTTCAAAAATCAGTTGACGATAGATGTATGAGTTTATTTCTGGATTTTCATTGGTATCCCATCATCTATCCTTATGCTAATACCACACTGTTTTGATTACTGTAGCTTTGTAGTAAGTTTGGAATGGGGAAGTGCAAGTACTCCAACTTTGTTCTTCTTTTTCAAGATTATTTTGGCTCTCCTGGGTCCCTTGATTTTCCATATGAATTTTATATTTAGCCTATTGATTTTAGACTTCAGGTTTCACAGTGGCAATCTGTAAAACTTCTATAAGGATTACTTAAAATTTGGGGTTGTTAGAATGTTTTGTATTTTTTTTTAATTAATTAATTTATGGGTGTGTTGGGTCTTTGTTGCCGCAGGCGGGCTTTCTCTAGTTGCAGTGAGTGGGAGCTACTCTTTGTTGCAGTGCACAGGCTCTAGACTTCAGTAGTTGTGGCACGTGGGCTCCGTGGTTGTGGCTCGCAGGCTCTAGAGCACAGGCTCAGTAGTTGTGGCACACGGGCTTAGTTGTTCCGTGGCACGTGAGATCTTCCAGGACCGGGGCTTGAACCCGTGTCGCCTGCATTGGCAGGTGGATTCTTAACCACTGCACCACCACTGAAGTCCAGTTTTGGATTTTTGGATGCATGAATGTGTTTTTGAAATTTGCTAACTTAATTCAAAATTGCATGTTAACATTTTAAGGTTATCTTTTGTTTTGTGTTCATTGAGTTTTGAACATAGCCGTTTTTGATGTTTTGGCTATTTTATGAATAATGCTTTATGAACATTTTTTGCAGGTTTTTGTGTGCCCCTTGTTTTCCCTCTTAATAGAGGCATGGAAATAAATTTGGTTATCTGAAATCTAGAGAGAATCCCAAGTCTAGTTTGTGTTTTAGTGTTTGCCTTCACTTCCAATATTGAGTACAGATAGTTAAAATATACTGCATTTTATTTTACTTCCTGGCTGGGGATGAAAGCTCTAAATTGGATCTTAAAAAGCTCCAAAGGAGGGCTAAATGAATTAGGAAACCCTGGGAACCAAATAACTACTCAGAATTTGTTAGCTGTCTATTTAAGACAACTTAAAAATGTACCTATTTCTGAATCATTTATAAAAAATTTCTTAAAATAGAGAATTTGTAATATTAATTTCACTTTTCTCCCCTAATATTTAAAGTGGCACTGTCAAAACAAAATAAAACTTGTCAAAGTGAGGTAATGGGAACCTTTAAAGTTTTAGGTTTCTAACCAAACAAGCTGTTAATTGTTTTTTTCCCTACATATAAAAAGACAGATCTTTTTGTTGTGGCATTTTGTTAGAGGAAAGTTTGAATCATTCAAACTCTGTTCAGGTTCTTTTGAAAGCAGCACACCCTGCCTGTTTCTTTATAGCTTTTCTTAAAGTAAAACTATATGCTACATTACAAATTCCTTTACCTAATACTATACTTTGAAGAAAAAAAAATATCCCAAACTTCCTACACAGCAGGTGTTTTGTTGCTGATAAGTCAGTTTTTGCCACAAAGTATAGTGTCACAAAGATAATCAAGTTTAAAATGTTTTTCTTTCTATTAAAATTGGACAGCAAAAATAATGCTGATAACAGAAATCCACACTGTTCCCTTTAATGTATAAGAAGAGTTAGTCCTTCAAAAGATTACTTCAAAAAGGTATTGACAAATATTGCACTGAGGAAGTTTCTCCATCTGCTGCTTCTTTTTCTCAAGGAGTCGAGTACTAGTTTATAGTACTCTTGATTATATATGTCAGCCTTACAGTATAGTGATTAAAATGGCTTTATATATTTTTATATAAGTCCAAATTATTTAATTCAAGCGTTAAAAAGTTTTTTTTAAGGAATGGATTTCATAGCGATAATTACTTAAGGGGAAAAAACAAGCATACCTGATTTAAATACCTTATGAACCTTATTTTACATAGTAATCCCAGTCTATATAAGATATAAAGTATTCCCCCAAAGACACCAGGTATTCTTTAGCATACATCACATTGTAATGAAGTGACATTTTTAGTTAGGTGACTTTTTCCAAAGATCTCCATTCAGCATATCAAGAATGAATGAATAACAATTATCTTCAGTATTTTTGTTCTGAAGTTTTTCCTTATTTCTGTTTTTAAAAAAAAATTTTTCTGATTAACCAGTACAGAAGTCTCATACCATTTATCTATTGATTTCACTGGTATTGTCATGCTTTACTTTTAAATAAATTCAGAGCACTAGGTTATACAGTTCTCTCTTGGTATCCTTGGGAGATTGGTTCCAGGACCAATACCAAAATCTACATGATGCCCAAGTCCCTTATATAAGAGGCATAATACTGTATATCCAAAATTTGATCTGTCATTACATGGATAAACTGGGAGGATTAAAATGTTTTTAAAAATCTGGAGTTGCTATTAATAGGACTTTGGAATGCAAAACGTTATTATATTTTTGCTTGGTTATTTAGTAGAAATTTAGTATCCTACATGAG